GTGTGTGTGTGTATGTGTATGTGTGTGTGTGTGTGTGTGTGTGTGTGTGAGTGTGTGTATACACCTGTGTGTGCACGCGTGTGTGTGTGCCACAGTGTATATATGTGTGTATGTGTGTGTGTGCGCGTATGTGTGTGTACGTATGCGTGTGCTTGTGTATGTGTGTATATACGTATGTGTTTCCTTGTGTGCCTTTGTGCGTGCACGTATGTGTGCTTGTGTGTATTCACGTATGTATCGGTTAATGTTGTCATAGCATATAACTTACTAGCGGGGATTAGATCGTCGAGTCATCGGTGTTATAGTCCATCGCTTTGAGCCAAATACAGTTCTTGTTGATATGTTCTCGCTCAATGCAGAGAAACGTACCACAGTAGTACTACTAACGAAGGCCTGCATGCTTGCATGAGGTTTGCGGTAAGCAACTAAAGGTATTCTATATATCCAAATACATCCGCGAAAGTAATAGATGCGTCAAATCGCTTACTGAGCCAGGATGTATTTGTATATATCAACAGGATAGAGTATCCACGAGCGAGTGCGCTGGCTTTTGACGGCAGCGATGGCAGCGGCGCAGGGCACGGATACAAAGGTTGTATTTATATATACATGTATCAAAGGAGAGTGTATAATTTAAGATATTAAAATACATGCTGTATCATACATAGTCAAAAAAGTAATATATTTGGACATCCATCCGAAGTCCAAAGTCCAAACCCCCCAACCCAAGCCCAAGGCTCAGGCATCATCCATAGTCCAAAGTCCAAACTTCACTTCGGGAAGTTCGGGTGTGTAAATAAATAACCGAATATTCTGTGTAAATAAATACAGTCGTCGGTCTGTATTTTTAAATACATAAATAAATACACACATATAATATATAGAGTGTACATATTATTGCAATCCTTTTTTATTAAAAAAAATAAAATATAAAAACCAAAAAAAGCCCCCAAAAAAAAACACTGTACTATTTATTTAGGAAGATATGACAAAACATGAATACATAAATATAAACCCTAAAAACATAGATACCATATATATCAAACCCAATTTGATCCAGTTTTTTTTAAGTACAAGCACTCGGATGCCCATAGTGGTTCTCAATTTCCAAATAAATAGTGCGCCTTCTTGTATAAAAGTTTTTAACTTTTTAATTTGTTTTACAAAAAAAGCCAAAAAAAAAATACATCCATATTTAAAATTAAAAAAAGACGGTCTTAAATACAGTATTTATTTTGTCTTTTTTTAAATAAATAAAATTACATTTATTAATTTATTTTAAATATAGTAGGCTATTTATGTCTGATTCTCTGAAGTCTGAACTCTTAAAGTCTAAAGTCACTCTGAAGTCTGAACTTCTGAACCCATAAATAATCCTCGATAAAATACAAGTTTGTCTATTTTATTTTTTTGTTTTGTTTTTAAAAAATAAATTAAAAATATATAATATAAGTGAGCGCAAAAAGTTTTAAATATTGTAGGTCTCAGACTCTGATGATCGTCAAGTCGTACATAAACGTTTATTCTTAAAATGTGTTTTTGTGAGTTTAAAGTGGTCTGCCATTGGATGAAACGTAATACATTTTGTTAACGTACCAGCATTTGAAGGTATAAACATATACGTATTAGAGCCCGACACCTATGTCACATTTTGGTCGGCACACATAGGGGTAAATAGTGTCATGCCAAATGTGGATGGCTTCCAAAATTCTATAATAATAAAATCGGATAGAAATGGCAACTTTAAAAATATTTTCCAACCTCTACATAATGAGTACAGATTAGAGTCGGGCAGTGGGGACTGGGGACCGGGGAGCCAGCCGGGAAGTCCCAACTTCACAAGTCTCAGCCTGGGGGGGAGGACTGGGTGTCTGTGGGTCACACACTCGCACCGTCACTGTGACATTCCACATTTGATAAGTCACAACTGATTCCTGACAACTGACAACTGGGTGGCCTGGGGCTAAGCCTGGGGTCGTAGACTCGTGGACTCGTGGACTCTCGAGTCTGAGAAGTACTCCGAGTCTGAGGTCTCGTGGAGTCGTGGGCCGTCGGGCGTCGGCACTCGGCACTCAGCAGGCAGCTCACTTCAGCCAGGGGCCGTGGACTGTGGAGGCGTGGACCGTGGGCGTGGGAGCTCTCGCAAATGGGTTTTGTTTTTTTAATACTATATAAAATAGCAACAAAAAAAAAAGCGCCGTACTCGGTGTATTTACATACTGGGCCTCTGGGAGGCTTGAGGTCGGTTATCTCTTATCTGTAACTCGCCTAAAACTAAAATATTTACTATATTTAATAGTTGCTTTTAGACCAGGCTAAATATATTTGCATAAGTAAATCGTGATAGATGCATTCGTACTATTCTACGGGGGATACAGTACAGTTGTACAAATACACGGACAGATATACAGATATATATACAAATATATATCGTTATATGGACATGCTATAATTCTACTTCAACTTGATATGTCGTTTCAACTCTTTTTTGATTGATCAGATATACACACACGCATATATATGTGTATATATATTTGTATATATATATATATATATATATATATATATATATATATATATATATATATATATATATGCGTGTGTGTATATCTGAGTTCATGTCAAGTCGCTATAGAGAACATATTATACATACTCATACCTATACGTGCAAAATTATTTAGATGCAAAAATGTAGTGATTTAATCAAAATATGTCGATTTAATGTACTAAATAGGTATATTTGAGCTGCACATATACCTACATTATATACGCTTACTCGTTGTCCCTCATCCAGCAAAACTTGGCCATGCCAGTACCACACTGCGTTGACTAAAATCCCGCCTCAGTGGCAAATAAGCAAGCCATGCACACAGGCGCATCTTCAAAGCCCACTTGTTGGGTAAGTATGGCGTGATCATTCGTCATAAATCCTTCGATCTCATCGTTCTGATAAGCAAGCTTAATAGTGGTCTGGTTTGTGTTGTGAACAACAAGCTGATTCGCAATGTAAACCAAGGTGGGTACTTCAGAGTAATGACATCCAAAGAATCGGATCCCTTCGGCCAAGCTCGGGTCAGCAATGTACTCTTCTTTTGTGGGTGTATCTGGGAATGGGATCCCCTGCATTGTCGAGTAATTAGAAAACCGCACAACAGAATCACCATTCGGTACAGTCCAAGCTGAATCACCGGCATTGTCAAGGATTATAATGACATCTACTTCACGAGCAGGAACGGCCAGGGAAAAGGCAGGGACGCCACCCTCAGCATAGCCACCATCAGACAATCGTATACTGTCGCCCATATAGAGTGCGTCAGTACTGGACAGGCCATCCAAGAAACTTGGTATCTCAGTCTAGTGTGTGGAGATGAATTTCTGCTGACCCTCGAAGGTGGTGTTGGTTTTGCTTAACTCCGCTCTCACGAGAGCCGAGACAGCGATACCGTTGTAATCTATGAAATAGCCCGAGCTAGTGCCCGTAACGAAGCCTAAATTATCATAATTAGACACACAAACATTGTCTACCACAGATGTACCATTCTTGTATTTTGTACCCACAGATGCTGTATTAATGAAAGCATTTACTGACGGTGCATATGATCCGGTAGTATACAGGTTTCACTCCCATGAATCGGCTCCAGCGCCCAATTCGAAACCTGTGGCACTGCCGTTCTTGAATACGGTAGCCACTATAAGTGGAAAGGGCATGGTATGGTTTGTAAAAGCATTGTCACCATTTGCGATACTCGATAGCGTTAGCTCGTCGCCGAAATTCTCGATATTGTGTAAGAAATGGAAAGAAACATCTTTCGCCCATATATCTACGAGCGAGACATGGTAGCCGGCTACATCTTTGCTCAGAACTTGTCTCGTGAGGTTTGCCATATTCTCAGATCGCTCTGTTTTGTTATCTCCCGGGTTGAGAAGATGATTGTTGATATTTATATACTTGGTCGCCACATCGCTGATGAGTGTATTATCGTTGGCAAGGATAGCACCGACAGTCCCGGCACCACCACTAATACCAGCAATATACGTGAGAATATGGTATTATACCTCCAGTCTTTTCTGACTTTGCCTGTGCATTCCTCATGTCGAAAGCACTTAGCACACTAAAAGCAGACAGCGAAGCACGGTGACCGCCGCCACTTGCTCCAAGTGCCGCTCTTGGTATGGAGCTAATATTCCATGCAAAGTCCTCGAAGCCCTCTAGCTGGACATTATCAAAATATTCCTGCCATGTTGTCATAGCATTTGTTTCCTCCTCTGAACCCATTCAGATTCTTTATCGGTAATCCGCGTATCCCCTTGTGGCAAAAATATGTTACTCGTGGCATCATCCGTGCAACTACTCTTAATAGGTGTGTATGAGTTCGTATCACGCGCGTATACCGACACTGCAGCTGCAGCGATCACTAGACTGGTGACAAACATTGTGTGTTGTAATGTTGCTCCTAGACTATTTAATGAGCTGTGTGTGAGTAGGTCGTGTGTTTAAATTTTCAAACCAGTATTTATTATTCATAGCCTCCTATTCTATAATAGTAAATACATAGCCTCCCACTCGAGTGTGAAGCATCGCAGCTGTAAGTCAGGGACGTTGTGAAAACCACACCACAGCGGTGTGTGTGTTTTTGTTTTTATTTTTAAACAAACATCAGAAGAAAAAAACAACCAAATCAAAACAACTTTTGTTTTTAAAAGACCATTTTATTGACTTTATAGCCTCTTTGCTCTTTTTGTTTCTACAAAACAAGACAACTCAGACTGTTTTTAACCACTTTTTTTATAGCATGCGAGCATTTATAAAGCACTCTTTACTCTATTACAGTATAAGTAAATACCTTCACCCTTTGACCACATTTACATCCTTTTTTTTTAAAACAAATGATAAAGTCAGCTGGTATATATTAAAAAGAAAAATATTAATAAAAATAACCAAAATACGAAATGATAGACTGTCAACTATTTAGAAGTAGTGCTTTATTGTGGTGCCTGCTCAAGGCATTTATACTAAATACTATTTCTTTCATGACTAATTCATGATTTTATAAAAACAAATATTTATAAAATATGGAGCATTTTTTAATTTTTAGCCTCCTTGTGTGTGTAACAATTTGTGTAAATATTGTCCACTATCCTGGATCCACTATCCAGCAGGCCTAGGAATCCAAGGAGTAAAAAGACCTAACAACCAGTGACCAGTCGGATTGGCTGGGACCAATAATTTGCCCTACTATAATATGGGACAGGTAGAGAAGAGTTGAGGACTCGAGAAGTTGAGAGTCGCCACTCGCCACTCGCCACTCGCCCAGTCGCCACTCGCCACTCGTCACTCGCCACTCGCCTTCGAGTGTCGACTGTCGACTGTCGACGGCTTTCCACTGTAAAGTTTTGATGTAAAACTAAATATGTACTCGAATGTTAAATGTACATATGTCGGCTGACTCACGGCCTCACGGCTCGCGCCTCACAAGTCACAAGCCCTCACTCATAACATATATAAGTCATATATACATATACCAAAGGAACCCAGTATTTTTTTGGTTGTTTTATTTTTTTGTTGGTTTTATTTTTTTCATCGTAATGTATGATGGGCTTGATAGTGTGTTTTATAAGAACGTCTAATTACTCTTGGTTCATAAACAACTATACTTCTAGCAATCGTTGATGAAATTGCTAGTAACTGTGAGACCCTGCAGTTCAGCATCCAACTGAAGTTTCTTGCACCTGATTGCCCACGCGCGAGAATCCTCATAGTAGCCGACTTGGAAATCGCGTAGGTACGCCATGTTAATCGGCTGGGAAACTTTGACGGATTTGTGGAAATAAGACTGACGGACTATATCGTAAATAGTCCAGGGATCCTTCATTAACGTCTCCTTGGGGGGAGTTTCGCGGAGTTCATCGGAGAGTGATCGAATAAGCAGATTACAGGAAGTGCGGTAAGATCCGAGTGCTTTTTTAGCGTTACGGAATTCCAGGGTGCTATCGGATTCATAGATAGGCTCGTATGGAATTGGTTTGGCACCGGGTTGAGGTAAGGGTTTGAGCAATTCACAGTAATTAAGAATAAGGTTAAGGTCCCATTTGTAATCACCGAGAGCAGCAAGGTACAGAACGTCATCCCAGCGATCGTAGTTATCATCGGAGAGTGTCACGCATGCCCACTTGATATGCGTGGAGCCAGGAGGACCTGTAGAGCCGAGCATGATGTGCAAGTGTAAATTGTAGGCTAAAAATGAAATATAAATTATTTTTTTAGCAAACACAGAAAAATCTTTTTACATATGTATGTATGTAGGTCCCGTATTTTATGACTGTTATTGTGATAATATGATAACTTTTTTTGTCTCAAGTGTCCAGTGTCACAGTTCGTTTTGGACAATATACAGGACACTTATAGAGGTAGATATCCTTGGACCAGGATAGACCCCGCCAGATACAGAGAAAGCTGGCTCCATATAGGACACATGAAGCTATTATAGCTTTACATATTTAACTTATGGTGTTGAGCTCATTAGCGTTCGATTTGTTTGTGCTTATCTGGCGTAATATCTTCTTCATTGTTCTACATCCGATGTCGAGTATTGATCTCCAGCTGCGTAAGATTAGATATCTAACAATCCAGCGATATCTTTAGGAATTCACACTGAACATACACGTAGTCTCACTATTGATGGCTTCCTCCATAGTCATTATCGTATCAATATTAAAAATCTGCAAACTTGTAGATTCGTCTATCCACTATTTTAATTCTCTCACTGTTTCACTGTCACTTGGATGATAGTCTGGATCAGCTATAGCACAATAAGATTCAAATATACTGATAATACTATCAATGATTCATTCCACACCATCCATGAGTTTGAGTAATCGGCTGCGTAGTTATTAATCGACGAACCTTCCGGTAGTCATGTAGATTTCTTCCAGCAATGCGCTAAGCTAATGTAAGACTTTTGATCCCAAATTTGTCCAATAGTTTTGTAAAAGCAACATCAAGCAGATTGGCTGGGTATGTATCTGAATTGCAATCTCGCCGTCGGTTATACATACGTTATTTGTTATAATGTACATAGTACATTTTGTTGTACTTTTATATATATATAAAAATTAGCGTTAAACGTGTAACGTTTATTCTGTAGAATTTTTTGTTCTGTTTTTGTAGAAATTAAAAAAATTGTTTGGTTTTTTGTTCGTTTTTTGTTTGGTTTTTTTTTTTAAACAAATCAAAAAACCAAAAATATATTTTGTTTTGTAAAAAATACAGAACAAACACAATAGCTACCTAAATTGCAAACAAAAATTTGATTTGTTTTAGTAGGCTATGAAAAATTCTGCTTGTTTTTTAGAGGGCTATGAAAATTCTATATTTAACTTGAATATTTTATATTGGCGCGCTTTTTCAGTCTCTCGCCGCAACCGCGACAGTTTTTTATATTTACATGTTGTCGTTTTTTTATGGGTTTAAAAGCCGACAATCTGGCGAGTATGTACGAGATATATAGACACACGTAATAGGGTGATGGTTCAACACTCCATCCAACCGCTATACCACTACACCTTTATGATATACCGGTGTGATTAAGCCAGTGCACACCCGCGCAAATTATCTTGACTGCATCTCTGTCCTGGCTATATAGGTTGCTCATAGCCGACGAGGAGCAATTGTATCACAGGAAAGCACTGTGTACCTCATAGTGTACGAGTATATCTTTGGTGTCGTGGGTGATATAAGACACCTCAGCCGCGGTATACGCTGCTCTACACTTTATTACAAGCCATAAACAGTGCACACGACATTCACTTATTCATATACTTTAAAACAAGTCCTGATCGCACTCGTAGGTCATTTTCTATGACATTATGCACATCAAACAAGTCACCATCCAAGGCTTCAAAAGCTACCGAGACCAAACGGCATGCGAACCATTTCACAGTGGCCACAATGTGGTGGTCGGAAGGAACGGAAGTGGAAAATCAAATTTCTTCTACGCCATTAGATTCGTGTTGAATGAGTTTACTAATCTGCGTCAAGAGGACAGACAGGCGCTTTTGCATGAAGGCACAGGTATGTGTTTTATATTTTATAAGATGTATGTGTATGGCTAGTAGTAGGACATGTCCTGTGTAGCTTTACGGATGTACATTCTAATCGATAGTGTCTGTTAGATTCATGGCGGATGCTAATAAAAAATATACATATTCTATTGGAATACGTTGATAGTGGTTGTGTATGTGGTGTTGCAAGAATAATCAGGGAAGTATAAGGCGACGATTATATATGTGTACTTGCAAAAAAAATCATTCTTAATAGTCGCAAAAGGCTATAGTTGAGTTCACTCGGTCGTGGGTAGATTACTGAGTATTCTGCTATGGGGACGGGTGTGGTACACAATAAATGAGATGATCATGCAGTGTTGGAAATTTAGTAGTCTATGTCAGTGGAATAGTTGCAATCAGTGTAAAATTGTGCAGCTGTCTGGCGGTGTTTGACTGTATCTGTCCCCGCACGTGTGATCACACTTGTGATGATCTGCACCTTTAAGATGATATGGAAGCATTGTACACTTGAAAGCATATACAATGAACATACATGCTGCTTACAAACGTCTGATGTCACATGTGTTGATCTGTAACTTTTAAGTTAATGTGGCAGTGTGTGCACACGAAAGCAGCTAAACTATATGTACATGCTGCTTACCCACGTGTAACTTTTGAGATGATATTTTGCGTCTTTGTCGTCATTGACCACTGTGCACACGAAAGCCTATCGAAAACGCATACTTGGGTGCCGTATTTTAAAGCTCTGCGAAAGGGTTCAGAACTACACTTAGGGTTCATACTTTCTTATCCATCTCCGGAATTGGTTGGGTGCTATTCCATTCCCAGTACAAAATTGCTGCAAAAATATTTCGCTTGCGATCGTAGGAATCGGGCTACAAAAACTAATTCCAAGTTCAAGATTAGACATTAATTTCACATCCACTCCTAGAATTGGGGGGGGTGTATCGTAGTCCAAGATTATGACCTTAATTCATCCGTGTTCTCACCCAAAACCCAGAACTTAGTATCATACATGGTTTGTCAATATTATTACCAACAGGGAATACACAATATGAAAGCTCTGTGAGCAGAGCATACACGGTTATATATCGCATGACACAAACACACCACAGCCTTAACAACAGTAGGGTTGACTCAAGAGTACACGATACAGAATATGTGGACAGATATGTTCCCTTCATTGTGGGGATCAGGTGTTAAGGTTACAATACCGTCACAACTATGCGCTCAGCACGTGAGTCTCAATACCAGATGAAATCGCATTACCGATTGAATTACGAGAAATATTTGCCCCAAATTAAGTCCCAAGCCCCAATTTAAATTCAGGTGCGGCAATGATGTCCGCGTATGTAGAGATCAAATTCGATAACACGGATCGAAGACTTCCATTCGAACGAGACGAAGTGGAACTACGCCGATCTATTGGGTTAAAGAAGGACGAGTACTTTCTCAATCGTAAGCATATCAGCAAGAGTGATGTCATGAATTTGCTGGAAAGCGCAGGCTTCTCGCGTTCCAATCCGTACTATATCGTACAGCAGGGAAAGGTATATTGTATGAACAGATAACGGCGTAGCCAGCGTTTTCAAATTTGAGTGTATGTATAGGTGGATATATATATGGGCGTATAGATATAAATGGATTGTGCAGATTAAAAAATTAAATGCGGCATTCATATTCCTACTAAAAACGAACTCTTTTTGGGGGGCAAGCACACGTATCTGTATTTTTATTCTCAACTATATTCGTACTCGTCAATGTGTTCAAACTACCTTCAGTGCTGCAGCCCACTACAATGACCATACACATAAATGGGTAGATACACGGTCTCACGGCATCCAATCTACCAAACTGTTCTATAATACATCTATATTCCCTCAAATTAAAACCGTGCTATTCTATTTGCAGATACAAGCTTTAACGGTTGCCAAAGACCACGAGCGCCTGAAATTACTGAAGGAGGTTGCTGGTACCAGTGTGTACGAAGACAGGCGACGCGAGAGTCAGAAGATCATGGAAGAAACAGGTGTGCATGTTTTCGTTATCTAGCACATATATGTATAGATATGTATGTATGTATATATAACCCTATATATGTGTGTGTGTATGTATGCGTATATATATATCTATATATATCCATATCTATCTAAATATCTATATATATATGTGTGTGTGTCTGTGACTGTGACTGTGTCTGTATGTATGTATGTATATATATATATATATGAATGTGTGTGTGTGTGTCTATATATATATCCATGTATGTATGTATGTTTGTATTAGTTACGTTTATCTATATATATATGTGTGTGTGGATGTATTGTATGTATGTATGTGTATGTATATATATATATATGTGTGTGTGTGTGTATGTATGTATATATATTGTGTGTTTTTGGTACATACATGTATGCAATGCTCTGTGATGGCGTGTATGTGTGCAGGTAACCAAATTGGAGAGCGGGATGACTATTGCACATACGCATGCGTAAATCTTACAAAAAGAATGTCTCTAACACATTTCTCAAACCACACAGTAGGCTGAACTGGGCATGTGTTATGACTGTATACATAATTCAAAGTAGATAAAAAATAAATAAAATTTAATCTCAGATGGGCGCCGGGAGAAGATCGGCGAAGTGTTCAACTATGTAGAGGAGCGTCTGGCTGAGCTGGAGGATGAGAAAGATGAACTCAAGGAGTACCAAAAAACTGATCGCGAAAAACGCTCACTCGAATACACCATCCATGATCGCGAACTCAAGGCTATCAATTTGGAACTAGATGAGGTGTGTCCGTATACACAGTTGAGTGGATATGTTTGCCGTTTATTTATATATTTATATATGTATATATATATATATACATAATTTTGTGTGCATGGGTGTGTGTATATGGCTGTTTGCGGTATTTTGCCTTTTCCTGGATTCAGCTGCTTCTATATTTTCTATATCTTCTGGTCATTAATATGCGACTACCAAGACACGGTTTTCATATATATATATATGTGTGTGTGTGTGTGTGTGTGTGTGTATAGATTAATTAAATATATACCTGATGCCTATTTTATCTCCACTTATCTCAGATTTCCGAGAAGTACCTGCACGAGACTGAAGACGCAGAGCGCTTGGAACGGGATATGATTCAGACCACCACCGACATTGAGGTACGTGATAAAACCCCCATTTATAGTTATTATACCAAGTTGAAGCCTGTTTATTTTTATACGAGATAGAATCTAAACACACAGTAGTATCTTCGTTTTATGTCTATCATATCACGTTGAAATCTGTGTACATGTGTGTGCTGCGTTGTACTTTGGCTTAGACAGAGATTCAATCGAGACCACCACCGATATCGAGATTGGCGATAACACATATACTTATTGCTATTATATTACGTTGAAGTCTGGTGTGTGTACATGTGTGGGCTACATTATGCTCAGGTTGCAAAACAAATTAGGCCGCTCTTGTTATCGAGCTACGTTGTGATACAGCCTTTCGAAATCTGAATCCCATCTCAAGATAATTTGCTAAATATATGTGAATTCTCGAAATCGATTGTAGAAAGCCGAAGAGGAGTTGGAGGCGAAGACTGTGGCGCTGGCCTCCAGCCAGAAAGCACAGGTTGATGTTGAGAAGGATCGGGAAGAGCTAGTCAAGGTACAGAGTCTTCTATGCTTTAGTTACATGCTTAATAGTTTGTTTAGACATGTTATAGTCGCAAACTATACTCCGTGTATCCATTCGTGGTGTACTGCAAATTGACGTGCATCTGTATTCTCTAGTACTACTGCGCACATGTCCGATCATACAGTATACTGCGTCACCTCGGTTCATTTTGGATTGCTTGTGAGCTCTATCATCGTAATAGACCATCTATTGATCTATTTTAATATGCACTCCGTAGAATCGCTCGTCCTATACCAACTACGTATGTCCACAGTACTGGCGCATCTCGAATGTAACACATACGTAGGGCCAACGAGGTGTATTTATCCGCACATACGTATAGACACGTTTTATACAAAAGGATCATGTGCTTAGATACATACGGTACAAATGCTCGTGTACTTGTAAATGTGACATATCAAGGACCATGTACATGAAAGCATGTGGTGGCATGCCAAAGCTCATATACTTGTATAGGTTTCCTTCTAACGATCGTATATTTGCATGCATGTATGTGCTAGTGTGTCTACCCTGGAACACTGATATCCCAGTGTTATGTAAGTTAAGGACCACCTCATTCTTACAACACCAAGCTGTAATCCAAATGCTTGTCTTTGCACGATGTCCCACTATTGATAGACTGGCACATTCAACCTATTCCAAACTCTTTTGTTTTAGAATCGCACGGAGCTCGAGTTGCAAATTGCCGATATCGAGACTCATCAGGAGAATGAAAAGTCCCTCAAGTATAATCTGGAGAGGCAGATGGCTCAGGTGTGTATTCTCTATACACGTTGGCAACTACATATCAGTTGTGATATACCAGCAGATACGCAATCAGATGCTTTTGTAAACATACTATCATCCATGGCGTGTATGTGGTAGTAGCTGCTATATCTATATCGATAAGTGCAATGAAGCTTCTGAACAGGAGTTATATTTGCAATTCGTGTCTGCATGCGCATATACACACAAATTGAGATCTGAATATTAGAGTGTCAGAGACTGTTTACGTTATGTTTGGCTACGGGTGTAAAGTGATATATTTAATCCATTTATAGGTAGTGATTAAATATACGATTTTTCCGCCCCACTATGTCGTTGTTCAAGGTATATGTATGTACGTAAATACACATGTGTATATGTATATACATATGCATAAGCATATGTGTAGGTATATGTACGTACATATGTCTGTATGTATGTATATATATCCTATTTATCTATATCCATCTATATATGTATATATATATATATATATATATATATATAAATATTCAAATATGTATGTATGTATGTATGTACATATGTATCTGTGTCTGTGTATTGGTCATTGGTCATTGGTCATTAGCCATTAAATATTAGAAGCATTAAGAACATATCATCATGTGGCACATTAAAGAACCAGTTAATGTCATGAAAATGTAAAACTATGCTTTATGTGGTATGCTCGCAAAGTCACATGGAATGATGTATAAATCTACCAATAGATAGAGATTGATGTGGAGAACAAAGAGAAGCGATTGGACCAGCTAAAACCGGAAGTGGAGGCAATCGCCGAAGAGGAGCTGTCCGTCAATAAGGAGTATGTGGTGATAGGTGCTACAGATTCGTGTATATATATTTTACACATATATTTATATATTTATATATATATATATGTGTGTGTGTGTGTTTATGCGTGTATATATGTACAAATGTGTTAAATAAGCAAATGTGCTAACGTGTAAATGTGTGTGCGTGTGTGTGTAGCCATACAGTAGTAGTATATATATATATATATGTTTATGTATATGTGTGTGTGTGCGTGTGTGTGTGTGTGTTTATATGTATGTATATGTATAGTGTATATGTATGTTTATGCTGTATCTTCCTATCGGCTAGTGCTATCGAGTATCTTCGACCAGAATGATCCACATGATCGTTGTGCGTGCGCGTGTATATAATCTTGTACATTTCAAGACATGCACTTGTCCTTTTTATTACATAATTCACATTGTCGGTCATATTTTAAGTGTGGGGTTCTTAGTGTTTAACTTCGACCCACAAAAGCACTTTTTTAATTTCACAGCTTCAGATTAACTAGAAGCATAGCATGTTTAATTTCTCTATTGCCTTTACTGATAATATTCAACCCGCTTGTAAAATGCATATCTATTAAATGCTATCCACTTTTTCATATCACCCGAATAGACTCATGATAAAAGAACGGCGGGCAGATGATCTCCAAGCCAAGTTGGGCCGACAGAGTGTGTTCAAGACCAAACAAGACCGCGACGATTTCTTGCATAAGGAAATTAAGGTACGTTTATTTGGCACGGTAACGGTATAAACCCTGGAAACCCTACAATGGGTGCGACTATCTCCAGAAGGACTTTATGCGCAGAATTCCAAATCCTTTCACTTAAACTTGCCGACTTCCTGCAGAAGGAAGCTAAAGTATAGTGTATTCGGCGCGTGCCAAACCTAAGACGCTAGACTTAACCCCGTATGTCCTATAATCGGAACGAACGCTTGTGTAAGAAAACTAAGTTTTGGCTTATTTGGCGCTGGAAGACAAGAGTCTCTTCATTAGGCCTTTATTGACTTCGGCACCCGCACTTTTGTATCTCATATTCTATATTTATTTTTATGCCTTTGTCCTAGGACACCCGTACACGATTTTACAAGCATAATGAGTACAACTGTATTAATAGTGTCTTTGTGTTTCTCGCGTCGTTCCAACTCAAGAGTTGCATGGTTGAGGCTCGGGTTTGTATAGTCCCAACTTACGATTTATATGTCTGAGCCCTTTGTCTATTGGTGTCTGTGCGAGACATGATAGTCGGCACTTGAAATAGACGTTATGTGTCGACACTCTCTTGATAATCTTATCCTGTAAAATAGAACCCTAATGCAATAGTATTCGTTTATTGCAGCTCTTATCCAGTGCCAAAGCCAAGACGGATAAGCAATACGAGATGAAAAACGCAGAGAACAACGCACTCGACGATTCCATCCAAAAGACCATGGGGACAATTAAAGAGGAGGAAAAGGTACTTTCAGAATTGTTATCCGATTTATTGTGAACTTTTTTACCAATATCTGGAGTGAGGGAGGGCAGGGGGTCGTTAGATCCGTCCCTCAATATATTGTAAGTCCTTTATTAATACTCCAATATGTAGAAGATATCCTTTTATAGTTGATTTTCTCTTTAATGTGAACTTTCACATCTACATAAGCCGTTCTAGCTACAGGTAGAGGCAAACGTTTGTCTTTAAATACACAGCCCGGTTGTTGAATTGGATATTTTCAATTGGACTCCTCGTTCTTTTCACAGAAAGTCACAGTACAAACGCAAGAGCTTGAGACCATAAACAGAGAGTACTCGAATCAATGCGCAGAACGCTCGGAGTTACAAAGCCAACGAAAGTATGTTATCAATATATGTAAGTATATGTATATAGTGTGTGTACATGTATGTGTATGAGTATATATGAATCATGTACTTCAATGTCATCGTGTATCTCTGTATGATTAGGGAAGACATTGCCTGGACGTGTATACAGGTGCTCGGTACCGTATGCAACGAGTACGGGCTGCACAGTCAGCCAAAACAGGTATTTCAGTGTAGACCAACATATATACATAGTACGTGTAGCATGTAAATTGTATGTCCCTGAGATTATAGTATTTGCAACAGGGAAATATGTTATACGGATATACTTAGAAATAGAACTTTGGAACTTCAGGCACCGTAAATAGTCATGCATACACACATGGCTCGATTTCAGTCTGTTTTATGCAATTATACAATAGAAAAAGGCGAACATATTTTATTTGCGGATGCGCGAGATATCGGTTCACGCTTGCGTGCTCATTATGAAATTATGTGACGCGTACTCCGGGCCGCCGTTTGAACCTGGTTCCTCTTTGATATCGATATGCTATATTTGCTTCACAAATGTAATTATATATGTATGGATATATATATATATAGGTATGTGTGTGTGTGTGTATATTACAATCTCGTCTCTATAACAGGAAAGAGGCATCAAGTCGCTTCGGAGACAATGGGCTTCAGTTGGTTTTTATTGATAGCTTGAAGAAGCAAATACACTATGGACTGCCATGCAGCCTTGAATACATAGTTCTGAGCGAGTATTAAAGTTTGCAATATCATACTCATGTACTCCATATCAGAAAGCTCTGGCGTAAATCGCAGGATTTGGACATGACTCTTGAGAGCGTGCGGAGTAGTCTGAGCAGAAACGAGAAGACTCTTCAGGGCACAATGAACAAGGTGTGTGTGCTTTTATTGCTAGCGTGAGCGGTTGAGTGTATCTTTGTTCCTTTTGAAAGGACAGACAGTCATGCGTATGTGTCTACTGGTGGGCATATTCATATATACTGCTACTTAATATTCATATATACTGCTACTTATACGCCAGCAGATACATTAAATATTACGTCGCTAAGACAGCATCCAGTCACCCCATACACCCGTTCCACGCACGCTGTCAATGGCTGGGGTTGGATTGTTATCAATCGTTGATAAATGGACGTAGACCCGTGAATATGTTATCTACCGTGACTAACATGGACACGTTTTGTAGAGGGATACGCATAGACGCGTGAACAGAGTATATTGTAGAGCTTACACTGACACGTGTTGTATCGCTATTCACACAGACACATTATATATATATATATGTGCGTGTGTGTGTGTGTGTGTATATGTATATATATGTGTGTGTATGTGTGTGTGATTTGTATGTTTGTATGTATGTATGTATGTATATTTATATTTTGACCAAAACAGGCACACAGGGTACCTTCACAATGCACGTATACCCCTGCATAATAGATATACGCTAACCTGCATGGGCACATTTGATATCTTCAGCAACTGTCGAGTGGGCTCAAAGGCGTGATGAAGATTGCGGAGGAGAATGGCATCGCCGGGGTATACGGCCCACTCATTGAACTATTCACATGCGAGGAGAAATTCAATACAGCCGTGGAGGTCACAGCTGGCAATGCGTATGTATTGTTGTGATTCCATCAGTAGAATGGTTGGAGTGGCCTGCCTACAGATCGACATGTGTTTGGACCCCTAGTCCCATAAATGTGCACATGGGTACATATACTCATTCTCGTTTAAACCCATGCATTACTCATATGTTACATAGGCTTGTGATTACCCGGATTCTAATATTTTATATTTGGCAGAAGCACAGTCGCACGTGTACAGGAGCACCCAGACACACTTATGTGCAGATTGTTGTCCGTGTGCATATGCAGGTTTAAATGCAAGCATGTTTACGTATACGCATGTGGATCACAATGTACTGATTTTTCTATAGACTGTTCAATGTGGTGGTCGACTCGGATGAAACGACTTAGAAGATTCTGACTTTGATCAATAGTATCGCTTTGAGCATGGTACATCTATCCACCCATATGTGTGCAGATTGACCAAATTACCTGTTACAAACATCTCTGTGATACTTAAAACGAACTGATTTACTGATACTATTATAGGCTATTCAATGTGGTAGTGGATTCAGATGACACTGCCTCTAAGATTCTGGAGGTGATGAACATTCACAAAGTGGGTGGAAGGGTCTCATTCATGCCACTCAACCGATTGGCTGACCAAAAACAGAACTATCCCAGCACACAGGTACGGTTTCTGATATCCTAAAAACAAAATACATACAGATACGCCCACTCTACGCCTATATCCATTAAAAATACCATATCGACACCTTATCCTCATATGCATTGACATAACTGTGCCGTGTGCGTGTGTGAGAGAGGAGACTATGCATTTGTGTCTCGGGGCTGTCCTATTCATGCCGTCAACTGATTGGTAGACCGCAGGCGGAACTACTCCAACACGAATACTCGTTTCTATGCTACTTTTTTATCTCTAATACCGCAAACCTTGTGCTATGAATATAAATCGGAAGGTGGTATTTGATGCCTATTTGTTCTGATATAATCCCCTTCATTGGAGGAAGATAATTTTCAATGCCTATTTTATCTGATATAATCCCCTTCATTACTATTGCTACATGTTTGCACTAGTGCACAAGCGTAATATCTATGTTACATCAGACTCTATAGCGTAAACATGTTTATATCGTTTATTGGGGGTTTTTTTTTATGTACTCAACTAAAACAGTATTTCTGGATATTCTGTCTTGAAATTCGTGGTGTATTCATCTATTCTTTCTTTCCATATTTTTTTTTCAGGACTCTTTCCCAATGGTCACGCGCCTCAAATTCGACAACCGCTATCGACTTGCGATGAACGAAGTCTTTGGCAGAATCATGGTTTGCCGCAACATGGATGTGGCCACCCAATTGTCTAAGTCAGCCGATATGAACTGTATCACCCTCGACGGTAAATGATATGCATATACAGATACTTGTATGTGTATATGTCTATTATACGTCCAAGATAATGGCATGTACGCAAGTATATATATCCTTGTTACATATACTATCGATCTGCGAAATGTAACTTTAATTTTCATGTACAATTGCGCACAGAAAATGATTTGCTGCCACCCTCGAGCACACGTGCGTAGGTTGGTAAGGGCTGTCATCTACGTTTCGTTTAGCGTTCAATGGACATAAATTATATAGTGTATGTGAAACTTCGAAACGCTGTTGCTGTGATATGTACCGACGCAACAAATGTGTGCATATAGGTTACCAGGAGTACACTCAAGTATATACTGTTCACCCGTTTAGCTAGGTCATTGTCTTAACTTTAGCACATCCAATACGATGAGGAATGTAAAGGATATCTAGATTCACGGAGCACATGAATGAGCTCACTCGAAGTTCAAAGGCCCGCGTTTCCTTTGAATAAATACCCATCACATGCATACAATATATATATATATATATAACCACACATGCATATAATATAAGTCCATCGAAAAGTACGGATACAGCATAGATATGAATAGTATTCAACTCCCGTATACATATACGCATACAGGTGATCAAGTGAGTCGGAAAGGTGCCTTGACTGGTGGATACCACGACGTACGAAGGTCACGGTTGGAAGCCATGAAGAAACTGCGGTCAGCCAGAGAAGCTTTGACTGAGAATTCACAGGAACAGGACAGTATTAAAATGGAGCTCGATGTCGTAGTGGGACAGATCAACGCTGTCAGCTCAGAGATACAGAGGCTTGGTGTGTCTGTTGTTCTGTACTGATTGGTTGCACTCGAGGGCCGTTTAGAAACTTTGTTGTGCGTGGAGATTTTTGATATGTATTTCTGTTTGATTCTTCATGCATGCGTTTAAATTCATGTTGGGTTTCCTACTGCATATATGAATACATACATCCACACCCTTGTGCAAACGTACATCAATACATGTACTTATACCCAAATCCAAACGACCTCGCCAGAAAACCGTCGCAACCACCTCAAAGAGGCGCTGGGTCGACGGAAAGAGGAACTCAGAGACGATCGGCAGTTGCTGCGGGAGCGTATGAAGGAGTTGGACACTCAACGCTTGTCTCTCAATGATTTGGAAAGCAGCAATGCAGCCTTGGCATTGAAACTGGAGAGTCTCAAGAAAGAGATGCAGGGTGACTTCCGTGATTCGCTCACCGTGGAAGAGAGACAGGTGTGTGTGGGAATATATCTCTATATTTGTTCATTCCACATCCCATCTAAATATATTTATATATCTATATATATATATATGGGTGTGAGTATGTCTAAATATATACTATACGTGCATGTATGCGTGTGTGAATTGTGTATGTACCCTGGATCGGAGCACATTCCATGCCAGTTAGCGATTTGAGAAACTGTATCGTATATTTGCAGTGTATTTAACTGAATGCAATTGTATATATCTGAATATAAACTTACAGCTCCTAGCCAGTGTGCAATTGGAGTTTTTCAAATTGAATGCTTAGTCAAATTTTACCTTAAACCGATTGCACACTATTCCTGATTTTCGTAAACTAACAACACTATTTCTATTTTTAGGAACTGGGTTCGCTGGGGCAGGAGATTGCGGTGCTGAAAAAGAAGAGTTTGTCGCTTGATCATCAACGCCTGAAGCTGGATGCCGAACGACAGAATTTGGACAACGAAATCGGGTCGATTTTGAGCCGAAAACAAACAGAGGTGTGTATGGGCGTATATTTTCTTGACTTCAGTGCATTTGCCTCAATTGCATGGAGCAAGCAAACTGGATACATATACAATCGCATACACGAATATTGCTTAAATTCTAAATTTAAATATAGAAATATACATATTGCCAATGCATACACAAACTTTATAGAATACATGCACCTTATGCTCACATATCAATACATCACATACTTACAAGTAAACTAACGTTTACCAAGCCTTTACTCGCATATTGATCACATACTCACATGTTAACGTTCGTTTTCAGGCTTTATCCCACATATCACCTCATTGTATACACTTATCGTACACGTATCACGCCTTTACTTATTAATGTATCACATGCACACATATTATCCGCACATCAGGTGGGTGCCAAACTGGACGCCATGCGCTATGAGACTGGTGCTGACTACGGAGAAAAACAATCGGCATTGTACACTGTAAATACTGAGTTGAAGGACCTTGACACTCGCTTGCGAGGTGCGTGGTTTACACGTCTAATCCTATTTACAGTTTTATATTCTTGTACTACATGACACATATATGGATGTATGGTGTGAAGTATATATTTATGTATAGATGCAAGGATATATTTCATCATTGCGGTGACGATATATACCACTTTCGTCTCAGCCGTACGTTTCGCCGACAGAATATAACTAAAGGCTTGCCTTGACCCACGAAGTCAACTCTGTGTATTTGTGGCTTTCTGGTGTGTATGTTTCGTATCGTACCTTTTACACTAACCCTATGAGCCTCAACCATCCATTTCTATACCTTTTCTACAACTGTTTTTATATCTAGATATGAGTATATGTATGTATATATATATCTATATATATATATAGTGGATATTATACCTAGTCTATTTAAACATAGAGCTTCTCTCATAACATTCACTATCGTCTTTTGCTGTCCAATAATAGAGTTGGAGGCCACCTCGAATGGACTGCGAAAGGCTGTCGACGCTGCACAAAAGAAGCTGTCCAAGGGCAAGGTATGCTATAGTTATATATATATTTATATCTCCGTTCCATGCGTGCATAAATGTCCCTGTACGTGGTATATTTATTTATGTATAAATATCCTAGATCTATATCGAAATCTACATCTATATATGCCTGTATATATATATACTATATACTGTATAAATCTATTGTCTTCATGTATATATCGAAATTTGATCATTTCTGCATACGCATGCATGCCCGTTAACTTGCATACTTTATTTTTACGTCAAGCTTCTACGAGAATTTGGTCGAAGTGCGTATCTCAATAGGAGAATGCACTGGTTCGACTATCCATGCATATACATTCAGATCACTTATGCTTTTGAATACATACACTGGCACATAAACCATCTATAAGTATATACATGTGTACGCCTAAACCTACGTACAGAAGATCAAGATGACAAGTGTAGAAGAAAAGAGCAGTCACCCGACACAATCAGGAAGGAAGTGCACACGCTCGTATATTCAAGTGAATATATACATAAATACCTATATTTGTACAAATTACACATTGTCGTACAATCTATCTTTACGGATGCAAACACGCAAAAAAAAATAGAGCCAGCTACGGAAGATTGAGGCGGCCATTGCAGAGGAGAGTAGCAGTCAGCAGAACATGCTCAAGAAAAAGAGTGCGCTTGTGGAGAAGAAGGATGATGTGACGCGTAAGGTACACGAACTGGGCTCACTGCCGATCAATGCCTTCGAAAAGTACAAGGATCATAGCCTGCCAAAGGTACTTCTATATGCATGAGTTTATATAGGTGTGTGCATGGACCTACCTGTCATGAAAAGACAAATAAATGTTCGTGTATGGTAAATATTCATGTATGTATTTGACGTGAAACAAAGATCACAGCTTGTCGAACCATTTTTTTTACACAACAGATGCATTTTTGGGCAATACGTGCAAATGCTGCCCTGAATATTCAACTTACTGACATGCACTTATCGATGTTTTCGCGCAAACTAATAAAAGCTCTACGATTACACCCCTCTATGCAGCTGTACAAACTGCTGCACACAGCAAATGAGAAAATCAAAAAGTACAGCCATGTCAACAAAAAGGCTTTAGATCAATATGTGAGTTTTGGAGAAGAAAGAGAAAGTTTGGGCAAACGCAAGGCCGAGCTGGATCTGGCAAAGAAGGTATATCACGAATGTCTTCCATATCGCGGCATTTATGAGTGTCGTTTCATGTTCATAATTGTGCTTTGTTCAAAAGCTAGTCATATGGTTTACGGTTATTGCATATTAACCTCTCACAATTTGCCGTCAAGTGAAGAGGTAATTGGTCATTCAATTCTTCAAACTTAAGTCAATTCCTATGTACATAGTTATATACATATACATATATATCTATATATATATATATCAATATATATATATATATGTGTGTGTGTGTAGATATATATATATATAGATGTATAGATATATAGATATTATCAAGTTAAGACAGTTCTAAAGTTACTACGCCCATTTCAGTGAAATAACTCTTGTTATATGCTAAGGAAGGCTACCTAGCTCAGACGCAGTACATGTAACTAACATAAATTTATAAGACATCCTACACCCTTGAGACTGTCTTCTCATATATTCCGGGGCAGGGGTAGTATGTTGTAACTGTTATACCTCTCTAACTTTGAGAGTACAAAATCGTAGATCCGTATATATATATCTGTGTGTGTGTGTGTATGTCCTATCTCCTATCTCCTATATCCCTATGGTTTTCTCATCAACTACAAGTTTGTTTGTTATTGTATGTACTTTTGACCTTCAACTTTCTTCCACCTCATCCATGCGTGTACAGTCCATTGAGGAATTAATTGATCACTTGGATCGCTTGAAAGACGAGTCCATCGAGCGCACATTCAAGCAAGTATCGAAGCATTTCTCGGATGTTTTCTCCCAATTGACTGCTGCTACTAAGGGCAAGGCTGAGCTTGTTATCTTAAGAGCAACACCAGGCGTATGTCGTATTATGTATGGCCCTGCAATTCTAGTCTCAGTGTGTATGTACGTATATTCCTGTGCGTGTTCCTTTGTGCCTATATATATACCTTAACTAGATGTGTGTGAATATGTGCCTGTATCTATACCTTAGCTATATGTGTGTGAATATGTGCCTGTATCTATACCTTAACTAGATGTGTGCGAAAATGTACGTGCTCGTGCGTAGCACATTTGCCACCTTACCTAGATGTGTGTGAATGTGTACGTGTTCGTACCTAGCACATGTGTGTTTCGATACATCAAGTATGTCGTATTGCTATGTTGTGCAGTTAGAGGGCAGAGCTGGGGTGCAGCACTCGTCAAGTTGTACGGTTTATATTTACTTGCATACCTTGGTTGCATGTTTTGCACTCCCTCTGCACAACAAATGAATGAAGCGAATGGCGATTCGTTCTGCATGGTATGAGTTATTTTTAACTATTTTCCATATACAGCACATAGAATTGTATCGCGCGCAATATCCGTATAGATATTCAGGAGTAGAATAATTCAACAACAGCTATATGTATGTATAAGTGATTTACGTGAGTGTTCCAACCCCATGCTTCCCTTCACAAAGAATATGTATCGTAGATTGGCAACTTATTTGGAAATTCTTTGGCTTTCGTAGCTACCGTTTCTCGTTTTCTTTCTAAAATTGAGTGTTTATGTTTCGCCTTATTATTTCAGAAACAGTCAACAGTCAAATGACGCAATAGTATTACATATACAAATTGGTATACGAAATGGTTCGTGCCCATCTGTTCTCTTACAAAGCACATAAAAGACGCAAAAGGGCACACATTACACAATATACGTTCTTGTGACTATTCCTCATTAGATGCGACACGGTGAGATGCTGCATTTCTTTTCGTCTTACATTGTGCAACTTGATAGATTATACCACCGACTTCTATATGTGCATAAGTTATGTTAGGAGTATATCACTCTCTTTGTATTTCACAATATAACTATATATATGTGTGTGTTTGTATTAATATTATATATATGTATGTATGTATGTATGTATGTATGTATATTATATATATTAATATATATGTGTATGTATGTATGTACGTATACGTATATGTAAATGCTTATGCATACACGTACATACATGCTAATATACATACATACATGTACGCACTATTTATCTATATATCCATATATCTATCTATATATATATGCACCTGTGTCTGTGCGGGTGTGGGTGGGTAGTGTGTATGTATATATATATATGGGTGGGTGGGTGGGTGTGCATGTATACATATATGAATACTAAAAGTGTTTTACGCCCGTATTAACTTTGCAATTCACAGCAAGATAATGATGCAAATGACAGTGACGAAGAACAAGACGGTGACGGATCAGTTTCGCAATATACTGGTATCGCTATCAAGGTAGGCGTGGCCTGAATTTGTTTTAAGGCAGAAAATTACAAATTGATTTATGTATCTTTGTTTATTGTTAGCTGATCATGTATAAATAGCTTTAATCTTGTGTGGATATGCATGTTTTCGCACTTGTATGCATGTCTAACTAAAATAAATGTAAGCCAACGCTTGTCTCCGTACATGAATGTGTACATACAGGTAAGTATATATACGTATCAATATGAAAAACTGCGAATAAATCTCTGTAGACATGCGAGTCTATATGCAGGCGTGTACAATCCACTTGGTATTTAGATATAAATTTATGCATATGCCATGCGTGTATATACTTGTGTTTTTAAGATCATGCATATTTTAGATGTATGCGTTACTTAAGTATTAAGATGTTCAACCGCACACCAATACAGAACGACCTGCAGATATGTACTCTACATATACGTATGATGCCAAATATCACAAAGTCACGCAACTAATCCAATCGGCCCAACCTCTTACGTGTATATATCTATATATGTAACACAGGTGTCGTTCACTGGCCGTAAAGACGACGTACAATTGGTGCAACAGTTGTCGGGAGGTCAGAAGTCTGTGGTAGCCTTAGCTCTGATCTTTGCAATCCAGGTATTTTTAATGTGAAATAATCCTCCTCCCTGCAAACCTGTAGAGTGTATGCATAATTGTGTGTGCGTGGTTGTGTTTACGAATATAAACGTATTCCACTTAGTAGGCACGCCTATTCCAACGATTCTTTGATGGTCAAAGTGTGCAAGTGTGTGTATTGGCATCGGCCGCCTGGCACAAGTTTTTATATTGTCCTGTTTAAACTATCTCTGTAGTACCGCGTGAACCCAACAGCTGTATATATTATGACACGTTAGCAAAAGTGCTATATAATTTGTATTAAAATTTCCATATTGTTTCTGCTCCTCGTATCGTCTAAGAGATATGTCTCTCTTCGAAGTATTGTTGGTGTAGACTACATGTACCAATTAATCTCTATATACGGGTTCTACTTCAGGAATATAAATGGAAATGGGTCGATTTCAACACTTCGCACTGAGTCAGATATTTAGTTTGGTCACAAAATCGTGTGCTTTGGTGATCATACATAGTCTTCACTGATTTGTCATCTGTGTACATTCTCCTCCTGGTCGCATACATAGTAGCTCTGAATCTGTATAAGGATATATTGCTTAGCAACGTTCGGTGTGCGCAATGGTGGTATAAAATCGTGAACAAATCTGCTCCAACGCATACATAATTAAATGCTAGTGGCATATTCGTGAGAACATTCGCCCCTACTCTCTTCAATGGCGAACCGAACTCAAATCCTTCTACCCGTGTGACAGAGCTTGTGCTTTTTCCTCTGTCTATATGTACGCCTTCCTCCTGGCCGCATACCGAAGCTAACCCCTACATCTATCATTATGTATGACTATGCTTTTTCCCTTTTTACCTGTTGCTACGATTTGTTATGTGCTTAAACCATTGTTTATTCGTCTCCTGCTGACATTCTTGTGCTTAACCCCGAATATATCACTATGCCTAGTACTGGTAATTTATACATACGGCCCTTGCTCTCCTTATAGCGGTCCGATCCCGCCCCCTTCTACCTGTTTGATGAGATTGATTCTGCGTTGGACGATACATACAGAACGGCAGTTGCAGGTATGTTAAATGCAGCGGAATCAAAAGTTTTTTTTCAGTACGCATCATACATATGATAATCTTTGTTGCAGTTAGATGCCTTATTTAGGTTCTGTTTTCTTTTGGAGCTTGAAGAGAGTAGGTGAGTGAGCGACGGAATGTGATGGATTGCTATTTTGGGTAGCACCTCACCATTTGTTTGGCTGTGAATTGGTTTTATTTGGCTTTCTTAGTGTGACAGTAGATCTACAATGTAGGGCTGTTTCAATAAATGAATTTGGGTGTACTTCTGGTGGAATTCCGTGATCAAATTGGATGAATTGTGCGGGTTCATATCATGAGTCCTGGATCTGTTTCGGTCATGTCAAGGGGGGACGCGGTGTCTGTACAGAATGAGAATGCAGTTACAACCGTCATTAGATTAGTTAGTTAAGGGTTGGTTTTGGTTAAAGGCTACAAAATCACTCTCACTCCTGAATCACTGACTTGCACAATCGCTTGCATACACTTGCAGAATTTCTAGACCTGGCATATATACCTGTGTACACATAAGGTACATTATACACGATTATAAATTTATAACCAGGCTTATTACTAACAAATCCTCTATGATCATGCACGAAATATAGATGTGATCTACAATTTGTCTCACGGAGAAGATCCCGCGCAATTCATCACCACAACATTCCATCCCGAGATGCTGCAACGTGCCGACCAGTACTACGGCATCACATACAAAAACAAGATCAGCTACGTCAACTGTATTGAAAAGTAAGTATTCGTATATGTATGTCTGTATGCCTGCGTATATATATATATATATATATATAAACAATCATCTATGTACATTCATCTTGGTGTAAGGGTATAAGAAGATCAGCTAATGTGATCTGTACTGTCATTTTATGTGTTATTTTGGTATTTGTTTGCTGATCCTGTGTTGTGGGCAATATTCATGAATAAACTAGGTATGCCACCTTTTTTCTAGGTGATGAGTGTGCGTAAGTGTAGAGGAGCGCAGTATTAGATATAATAGTAATCACGTAAACTATAGTTATTAGTATGTACGAGGGAAAGAGTGGCAGCATATGTGCGCATGTATGTGTAGTAGACCCTGGAAAATCCATGTAAAATATAAACACCTAAGGTGTGTTATAATTTTGGCCCGATGCTAAATTTTACTCGGGTGTCAATACATATCCTCTCACATTAAAATGGACTTTCAAAATCCATGTTTTAGCTTCCGCCTATTCATGTATTCCTTTGCACCTTATTATAGGGACGAGGCCCTGAAGTTTGTTACACAAAACTTGAATGCACCACCTGAAGGAGGAGTCGGAGGGCGCTGATCGCAATGGTAGGCGAAGTATAGTGAGCACTCTACCAGCTGTTCGCGATGAACACAATAGGCCCTCTCGTTCCTAAGCATCTAGCATCAACCCTGTGTCGAATGCATGCCCATATTTTTCAGTATACTACTTGCTGTGTATGTAGGCTTCACACAAATCACGGACATTCGAGAATATCTACTGTGATAGTATAACCGCCGAATGAATAGAGTTGAAACCTCGCGTGTACCTTCGTGTAAGCTAAATACATATTCGAGGAAGCAATCCGCTTGAAAAGTCAATACCTAGCGATACTCGCCCACCCTCGCAACGAGCAACGAGTCTGACGAGAGGAAGTATAGCATGTACATGTATATCGTTCACCTCACTATCAGGAATTCGGCACGAGGTCAATGCGAAATCCATAAATCTACGGAAGACAGCTACTATCAGAATGATCGCACCACTACGGCCTGATAATCGTTGTCGCGTTACTTGTATCCATAGATTTATGCGCCGGTCAGAGCTATGCAGTTCCGGGCAAGTGGATCCTAGGCTCGCATACGAGTGGCGATTAGCAAAACACAGCACGTGTACACGTTTGTTGGCAGGGACACGCTATCGGAATCGGCAAGTAGGTAGTATAGTTGTGGTCTACTCTTTCCGCACAAGGCGTGTTCAATACATGCATACAGTCCATAAATTAACTTTACCATCAAGACAATGTATCATAAAACTATATATGTGGCTTTGTGAATGTCGGCTGCTCGCACGAGAGGATAGGTCAGCCAGACATACTCCGCAGCACAACGAATAATTGGGATTTCAGCTTCAGATCGGACCTACCATGGGTGGAATGACGCTCCGGCGCTCTGGATCCAATGTACTAACCAAATAATCCAAACGATATGAAATAAATACGGATACGACCCAATTATTTGCACATCTGAAAAAGATCCATTCGATTTTGTAACATACCTCGAAATGACAATGTGATAGCGTGATGTATTTAGATATTTTTAGGTACGTCGCAAAGCGAAGCACCAGTCCTATATTTCTGACGCAAAGCAATGTAACTAACAACAAGAGAGTAAAAAAGTTCAGCGAAGCGATCTTATTGAATATCTAGGTTTTTTTTATAAATGCAGATTTCTGCATCGCATTCCTATGACGGTGTGCAAGTGATGTTTAATTCGTGTATATGAGACTTGGGGTGGGGGGAGGGGGGACAACAACTCACAACTGGCAAGAGTCGATGTCAAGTGTTTTCTATTTTTGGAATTTATTTCCAAACGTTTTTTGATATAAATAGAAATGAACTTCAAGCGACAATGCTAAGGTCGTGCATGAACAGTATCAAATTTGTGGCACAAGCTATAGCTAACGATAAAGTCTGCTACGAAACAATATCAAGTGGATTGGTATAGGTGTACGAAATGAAATATGTACGACTGACAAATTTTATCTTGCCCGTATATCAATTTCGAGCACGGTATATGAAGTGAGGTTGAGTGTTCGCTTGTATTAAAGAAGTGTAGCAATTCCATATCACGATGTCGTCTAATACAATTTCCAGTCGAAAAGGGTCGTTAATCATGTTTGCTGCGAAGTTTATTACAATCTCACAAACTCCAAGAAGGACTTAGTCTCATAGCTGGTCGGCTATAGCGATCTTCCACGTTTCGCTTGAAATATGCTTCTGAGAAAACGAGGGAGTTTTGAATTGGAGACATTCGGTTTTGGTAGTGTATAGGGTCAACAATGCTCACCTCTCACCTTAAAGCACTGAAGGTATTAAGTTGGAGGCACCACGGGTCTCTAATAAAAGCTTCTTACGACCCTCCCTAAAGCGTTTTTGAGTCCGCTTCTCCTGATTAAGAAGCCATCGTCATAGCCCCTTGATTTGGTTATGCATATCTTATCACTTTTCGTTTGCAATCTCGCAAAGAAGCCCAGCCAAATTGTATTCTTAACTTCCAACTCATTATCCTCATCCTCCCTCACATCAATAAAGTTTCCCACTGGTAGTAGTTGAGGAGCAGCAGTCTTTAGCTGTTCGAGATCGGCTACGGTTCGAGTTTTGATATTAACAGTGTTGCTCTCTATTGCTTTGCAGGGAGTTCCATTTACGAAGCGGTACATATGTCTGTTTTCGACACTTAATAGATATTTCACGCGCGAAAATTCCAAAGGCTCATATACGTGTTTTTGGTATGCCTTTTTTCTCGTCTTGATGGCTTCAACGCTACTACACAGTTGACGTGTGGACGAATTCCGTTGAGTGAGTAGTGACAGATGCCGTGTAGAAATATTTCTCTGTAGCTGGGCATTTATAGCTGGAAGGGACGTTTGTATAGTCTTGGGATCCACTGTGTTCGCATCCATGATTTTTTAAAGGACTACATGAAATTTGGCTACAATTTTTTTATTGTGGCACTTTGTAGTGGTGTATGCCTTATATATGTAATCGACAGTTATCCTACCACTGCAACATAAGCCATAAATAAATATCAGCAAAGGTAGAAAGTTGTCAGGTAAGAGGACTCTCTTGCATTGGTCAATCTCTCGTAGGACTTCTTCGCGATGACTCCAATATATTTATTTACAATATTATTACATATCATATTTTACTACGATAGTCGATATTATATGGTTTTTTTTTAAAACAAACAAAGTATTTACTTTTCCTTCAACAACAACTGAGGACTAATATTATTGGACTATGACTATGTATGACTGTATTCAGTGTATAGTAGAGTATACTCAACACTGTACAGACTATAGAGGAGGAGGCCATCATGAATGAGATTATAATTTTTATATGTATACATATTGTAGTTTATAGTTTATACATATTACTCGACTTCTTTGAAGTTCGATGACTTCGATCTGTAGTCACTAGAGTAGTCACTGCAGACTCGGACTGTCCTTCATCAATCATCAGACACCATTTTTAACTAAAATACTTATATCCACTATTACTAGTTAAATATTAAATTGGTTCAATTTAAAAGAAGGCTGTGTAGACTGTACCACGGTAGACTGCCAACCTCAAACCGTTTTCCGTTAAAACTTTTATATATCGAATAAATATACGTTTACGTTAAACTTTTATTCCGTATACGGTTTATAAATTATATACTCAGAGATGCATCTTTCGGCTTTCGGGTCTAAATATTTTAAGTGTGTACCTTTTTCACCTTACGAACCAGTCCCCTATAAAAAGAACTTTTAAAAGTAAGCCCTTCTGATCACATTATAACCGTTACAACGTTTAAAATTGAATAATATGCGTTTACGCTCAACTTCTAATCCGTACCCCCATAACGTAATGAGCATAGCAGTGTAGAGTCACTAGCTAGAGCAGAGTGTAGAGTGAGCGTAGACTGCCCAGTGTCCATCACTGTCCACTGTAGAAGTAAGTGTATGTACTACGTTAATATCTGCCTGTTGTACGACTTTGTGTAGTTTAGAGCCTGGTACTGGGCTGAAATACCATGCAGGAGTAAAAAAAATACTATACAATTTGCGGTGGTAGTGCCCACATTCAGTACTAGGCTGATTGGTACAGCCATTCAACTGCAGATTGTGAAAATATACTTCTGCAGAGTACGACTTGGGTCGTATAAAAGTATATTTTCACA